TGATAAAGTCTGCTAATTCTAAAGGAGGAATTGGCTATGTCTTCTTTACCATTAAATAAAAATTTAGCACACTATTAATAATTTTTTCTTTCTCATAATAGGTAAATACAGAGATTTACAACCACTGGTAGAATGAAGAAATTTTTTAAAGGAGTTTTTGAAAAAGAATGCATATTAAATATTAAAAATGTGAAAATTTTTTTTTGATGTTTTTACTTTATATTTGTTATCAGACTTCTTATTATTGGATTATATTTATTCTTTTTTTTATTTATCAATTAGTAATACTAATAAATAACTATACATTGTATTAAGTAATGTCAAATTTTGTATTTATAAAATGAATGTTTTTGGTGAAATACCATCTAATCCTTTGGATTTGACTTGACATAATGCAGAAACTGCTGATGGTATATTTTTTTTCTTTCTTAAAAAAAAAAAAAAAATCTAAAGCAGTATGAAATGAAATGGTTTAGATATATATATTAATCAGAAAATTTTTTTTAATATATAATTTAATTATTTATTATCATTATATTGTATTATTTTTTTTAATGACTAGCAGCCACCCGTTCCTTTGCACTGGGACCAATGAGTTTGTTTAAATAGAAAAATTTAGTATTATAATGTAATACTAAGTAAATTAAAGATGGTTATAGTAGTTTTTTGTTTATTATATGGTAATAATTAGTTAACAAAAAATAACAAATAATATGTATTAATGATATAAATTATATTTATAATAATGTACGATTTGAAATTTGAGTCATTTGAGTGTAAAATGAAATTCGGATTAATTAAGGAATTGTAAAAAAATAATTATCAATAAAATTGATTAATTTTTAGAAGTATTTTCAAAAAAACTTTGATATTATGAAAATACTACAAATATTTTTATTGATTAATTATAAATTTTATAATTATTTCTTATTATTTTATATTACGCAACTTAAACTTATAAGTTATAACAGACTTAGGAAAATATTCAATTAAATGTATTAGAATTTGTTCATTTCATTTATTATTATTCTTTTGATACTCATTTTACTCAATAAATTATTAATTTAACTAAATAATTTGAATTAAAATCTTTATTCAAAAATCTGGGGATTTATTTCGGATATGGATTTGGTTATAATAATCTATTATTAAATTAAAAATTTCTTCAATAATTAATTATAAAATATTGTAAAATTTCAATTTTTTTCTAATTTTTATGAATTTGAAAATTTAACTATTTATCCAGCGTTTAATTTAGTTGAAAAAATCTTAATCATCTTTCTATCAACGTCGGTCAATTTTCCTACATGTCATATTTTTTAAAAGATAATAATTTTGTAAATATATTTAATATAATATTTTATTTCTTTATTTAATAATAATAAAAAATTGAAAGAAAAAGAAAAAAAAATTAAAAAAAATTTGGGGAAACAAACATACACACCATCCACACATAAACTCACACACAAACCTAAAGAAAAGGGGCCTAAGAATAAAGACAGAAAGAAAAACAGACGTTAAAAAAAAGATAAAGAAAACCATATTATTTAAATTATATACTTATGGTAAAACTATATGTTACACGGTTACAATTTTTTTGCGTAAATAACTATTGATCCGGTGACATTTTTCGGTAAATCAACCAACCTACTTTCAATAGTATAATTAAAATTTCTTTATAAATTTATATATAGTATATTTAATATTTAACATATATTATTCAGTTATATAAATTTTATGTTAACTATTATTATTTAGCAATAAGCTATGCTTAGATGCTAACTTTCTGATTATTTCATTGATTTTAGTAATCGATAAATGAATTAAGGCGAAAACCGTTCAGACCCATTGCAAGTTTAAATAAAATCAAAAATAGTGCAAACCATCAAAAAATTTTTGCATAACCCACAATCGGGCACAATGATCATAATTACACAGCTACGATTTAGTTGCCGCAGTTTGTTGCTTTAATAATGTGTAACGAATGTCAGCTGTCCGTCTGGCACGTGACGAAGTAAACAACAATAAAATTTATGCTACATCTAAACATCCGTTCTTACAACAAAGTTAACCACCTTTCTCAGAATAAAATAAAAAACAAAAAACAAAATAAAATTTTCGGGCTTCGTTTCCTAGTGTTGTGACTTGTGACGACTTGAAAAAAATTTTAATTTGGCCAAGTCTAACATGTTTTTTATCAATTAAGAACGAGAAATTCTTTATGAATAAAAATAACTTACAATAATCTTCATATTTTAAAATTTTAACAGTTAAGTAAAAAAAAAATAATTAATTTTTGTCATAAATTGTAAAATAAATTTAACTTGAAGGCCTTGCAGTGTTTGTTTTATTAGTTCAAACTGTCAGTATATTAGGTTGAAAAGCATGAAAAAAAATGCTTTAATGATTACTCTTCTTATCTTAACTCGGAATTGATAAATGATCAAAAAAAAGAAAATTACCTTACATATACTCTTTAATTTATACTGTACACTATATTTTATAAATTATAAGCAATAATTCCTCGAAGACTATATACTTTAAAGTTAAATAAAATTTGTAAATTTTTAATGAATTGATATTTACAGTTCCTAAAATCTGAGAATTAACATTACGCTTATTTGACACTATCTTTTTACATTGTAAAAAAATATTATTACGAAAGTCGTACTACTTACTATGTATTAAATAATAAGAGTTAATTTCACGTTGTACCTGTCTTACAGTGTGATCTGCATGCCACCGCATCCATAGAATTCTTTGCCGGTATTCTTATTAAAAGTTCATTCGAAAAATCTTTTCCATGTTACAGTTCTAGAAGTGTTCTAGATTAGTTATTTAAACTTTTTTAGTACGATTCTTATAATTAGAAACTTCTACGGATTATATTATTATGGAATTTTCTGAATTCGGATTAAAAACTCCTTGCTTAGAAAAAAAATACATATATTTAGACTTTTTTGTCTCAAGCAAAATAGATAATTTTTTTTTTTTAAAAAAAAAAATTAACAATGGATCAATTAACAAATCATAAACTAAAAATTGATTTTTTATTATCAGACAACACATCTTTAGACCTGCCACAACAAACTACAATTAAACCAAATCGTAAACGTAAAATGACGATATTATGCAGCGAATGTAACCAAAAAAGGAAACGTTTAGATGAAAATCATCAGATTTGTCAGGTTTGTTATAAAGCGAAATCAGTATATATACCAAGTGGGAACAAAGTTATTGATGATTTTATCAAGCATACATTAATTAGTGGCAATAAATTAGCTGGAAAAATAGTGTTTGTACCTTATGATCAATTCGAAAATGTAGAATTCATTGCTGAAGGAGGTTTTAGTAAAATTTATAAGGCTATTTGGGTTGATGGCCCAACAACGATTACTTGGAATGAGAAAAAGTATGAAAATTATGAAGTCGTTCTTAAAAAGCTTAATAATTCTAAAGGCATTACATCTAAGGAGTTAAATGAGGTGATTATAATTATTTATTAGCTTAAATTTGAGTTAAGTAATTAATAAACTTTTATTTTAGCTCAAGATATTTCATGAATTTTCTTTAAATCGGAAAATTAAGGGTTCTTACGGCAATAATGTTAGTAGATATTTTGGGATTACCCAAGATCTCGTTACCAACGATATCATGATTATTATGCCACATTATGAATTAGGTGATTTGACAAACTTTATAACTAGTAATTTTTATAGTATTTATTGGGTGTTAAAGTTGAATAAATTAAAACAAATAGTAATTGGTCTTACCAATTTGCATAGTGTAAATATTTTCACAGAGATTTTCATAGTGGAAATATCTTTTTTAATAAAATGTACTATGTATATTTAGGTGATTTGGGATTAAGTAAATCTGCAACTGAAATTACAGACGATGATAATAACAAAGAGAATTATGGTATCATTCCTTATATGGCTCCAGAGATTTTTAAAGGAAAAAAATATACCAAAGAATCAGACATATATAGTTTTGGTATGATTATGTGGGAATTTATGACAAGTAGAAGACCTTTTTGGAATAGAAGTCATGATGCAGAACTTATAATAGAAATATGTGATGGTTTAAGACCACCAATTGTTACAAATGCGCCCGAAGGGTATATTGAATTAATGAAAGAATGCTGGCATTCTGATCCTAATAAAAGACCAATAGCTGCTGATATTTATCATAGAATTGAAAAAATGTATTGGAATGAACAGGATACAAGAACTAAAATTATACAATCGTCAGATATTGGACCTGTAACTACAAATAATCCAGGTGCTATTTATAGAAGTAGACCTTTGAGTGGTATGATTCAATCTGCGATGTTTACAATGTCTACAAGTTTAAGAAGCCAGTCTATAACTGCAGAATTTGGTAAATATAACAACATTGAATATTTAGTTTTAATAAAAAAATTAATAATTTTACTACTCCGTTACTATTTAGAACTATCTAATTATCATCAAAAAAACGATATATCATTTAATGGTAATTATTTATTTAAGGTTAATAACTAATATAATTTTAAGTAATATTAAAAAGTTTTATTTTTTAAGATAAAAGAAAGTTTGACGACACTCAAATTGAAAACAGTTTTAATGATGGAGGTATGACAAAAGTCAAAATTTATATATAAATGTGAATGAATTCAATATTTACTAATTTAAAATTTCCAGATAAATTTATTAAAAAGGTTAAATTAATCGAAAATGAAAATAATGGTAAAATATTTCGCGTTTTTGTAATAAAAATAATTTGTGCTTAAATTTAATTATTTTTCGTTTTCATTTATTTAGATTATACCACGCAAGAATTTGAATTGGACATAAATATAGATTCTGAACAATTCATCGATGATGAAAGTAAGTGATTATTATTTTTTAAAAAAATTTTTATTATCTTAACCTATTTTCTTTAAATTAAAAATATAGGATATACTACACTTGAAATTGATTTTGATATATGAATGACGTCGGTCTTTATTAAATCTTACTAGAGTTTTCTCTTTAATAATATTATTCTTTTTTTTTAAGTTTTATTGATATTTCAAATATAATATAAAAAAAGTTTAATTCAAAATATGATAAATAACTAACTTATTAATAAGCGTCAATTATAAAGCGATAGCAGTTTTGAGAAGTCAAATTGTATAATCATCCAGCGTAATTTGAATTTTTGCATCGTTCATTATATTAAATGTTTAGCTAATAAATGTTTATTCACCAAAAAATTCGGTAAAAATTACTAATATAAAGTCATTTATGACCTAACGAAAACTTCAACAATATTAACTAATTTATTCACGAAATTTTTCAAAAAATTTTTCAGTATTAATTTTTTTTGATTAAATACGATAGAATCCTTGATAATATTTATTTCTATTATATAAAATTATGTTTATTGAAAAAAAAACCTTTGTAAATGTATAGCCAAATATAAACGAGAATCGCATTTTTGTAAAAACAAATTTAATAGTTTATTAATTTCCTCATGAAGGGCAAGACTTGTTTAGATTTCTGTAGCCAAGTCAATGTATTTATTTGCGTAACCTTTGAATTGTAAAATCGTTTTTGAAAAAGTGTGATATTTATGGTGTTATACCATTTATTTATGGCACCTGAAGTTTTAAGAGGCAGATCTTATACTTCAGCTAGTGATATATTTAGTTTTTCTATGATTATGTGGGAACTTACATCCGGAGTACCACCATTTAATAATAGAGCACATGATATTCAACTTAGTTTAAGTATTTGTAAAGGTGAACGTCCTGAAATTATTGAAAATACTCCACAGTGTTATGTAGATTTAATGAAAAAATGTTGGAATGAAGATCCATTAAAAAGACCATCTACTGTACATCAGAAGTGAATTATATTATTAGGAATTGGATTCTCCATGATAACTATTACGAGATATTACAATAATATTATATTTATAAAAAAATTGAAAAAAGTAATATATAATTAAAAAAAAAAAATAATGGATTGTGTTGTATTGTAACGGGATTCTGATCGTCGGATCCCATTATGTATACCGTCTTTTTGTTTTGCTTGCTTACGGAGGTTTCCCAACAGGACATTTTTATAACAGCCTAAAGCTGGCCTTTTGATCACATGTTCATGCATAACTCTGCATTACTCTGGCAAAACTTGTTGGGCATCAGGAAATCATCCGTCGGAAATCGTGCCGTAACCTTGTTACTATATTTTGATATGGATTTCTTATAAAGAATTTTCAATTAAAGATAATTGTTTAACAATACAGTTATGTAAAATGATTTTTTTTAAAATCAAACGTGATGAATATATTCACTGTACATTAATTGATCACTTTAAAATTAAATGAACTATGACAATTTGTTGAAATTAAAGTAGGTAGTAACAAAGTAAATAATAATATAATGATATGTATTGCATAGATAATAAATTTAAGATTTAACTATAGCTAGATACACCTAATCCAAGATATGGATCAACTTTTGGTGTGAACAAAGCTCTTCTTTTAATTTGAAATCCTTCAATTGGTTTGAAAACGAAATTCATAATTAACATGGCCAACATTATTTTAACTTCAGCTGAAGCTACTTTATTGCCTATGCAACCTCTTGCACCATTAAGGAAGGGTAAATAATTATAATTGTTTATCTTCTTTATTAAAGCAGAATCTAACCATCTTTTTGGATCAAATTCCTCAGCCGTTGGGCCCCAAATTTCAGCTGATTTTTGAACTGCTAAAATTCCAACATGTATTTCAGTACCCTATAAAAGATAAAAAAAAAATTTAATAAGTATTTTAAAAAATTATTTTATTTATTAATGGACATATATATTATATAATAACATGCCTTTGGAATAAGATATTTCCCAAAAAATTCATCTTTAAGGTTAAGTCGTTTAGAGATTGGTACTAAAGTAACAAAACCGCTAAATTAGTATTAGTTTTTGATGTGCTAAGACAGTTTAAATTAACTATGTACTTGGAGCGGCTATTCTTAAAACTTCTTTAAGTACGCAATTTAAAAACTCCAAAGAATGTATTTCATCATATGTGGGATTGAATTGTGATTTATCAGGATAAGCTTTGACTAATTCCTCACGTAATAAATCTTGATGATGTGGATGGTGTGCGAGTAAATATAAAGCCCATGAAGTTGTAACGTTTGTAGTTTCATGTCCTGCTATTAAAAATGTCATAATCTGAAATATTTCAAAACATAGGTAAATAAATAAAAAATTAATAAACTAATAAATAAATAATAATAAATAATTATTTTTTAATTACTTGATTTTTTAATTCATCATAAGTCAATTTTTCTTCATCAGGTAAAGTTTTATTGTTATTAATTAATAATGACAACAAATCCTTATTTTTCAATTCTCCATTTTCGGCTTCTTTATATTTTACATCAATCAATTTCTTTGATTCGCAGTGTATAACAACACACGCTTCTTTATATCTCAAATTTACATCTATTGGGATATGTCCGACAGATGAGAAATAACTTGAAAACATTATAATGGCATAATGGCAGCGTGAAACATATCTGGAGTGGCATTGAAAAGACCATCGAATGCTATTGCAAATTCGCTTGGAAGTTAACGAATTGAATTCATAACTAAATCCTAAAAAAAAAACAGAATTTTCAGACTCCTATTATAAAATGCGTCCAATATTTTATTTATTTTTTTTCTTTCTCTCACCTACTAAACCGATAATGTCCAAAGTAGCCTTTGATATATAAAGTGTAAGATTAACGTTAGAATTTCCTTGGTTCATCTCTTTTTTGATTAAGTCTATTAAAGTAGTGGTTACACGAATAAAGTCTAAAACCATTCCCTAAATTAATTAATTATATTTAATATTAACCTTGGTTTAAAATTAAAATTTTGATTTTCCACAATGAAGTATAATTACTTTGATGTTACTATGAGAGAAAGCTGGATTCATCATTTTTCTTTGTCTCTTATAAACGTCACCTTCCGCAAATATTAGTCCTTTACCGAGAAGTGCAATAGCAGACTTATTATTACTGTAAGGTTTAGTGAAATCATAACTTCTACTCAACGTTATTTCTTGAATTATTTTTGGGTCGGCAACAAAAATTGTTGGTTTGTTAAATATTCCGTAGTATTTTAATATATTTCCGTATTTTTTATACCATTTAAATTGTGGTTCAACGAAACCGTCAGCCTATCGTAGCGAAAAAATAGAAAAATACTTGTTAACAATAAAAATTGATTATTAAGTTAAAAATATGAACAATTCGTTACCTCTATTGATAACAATGCTTTAACATTTCCGTAAATTAGACTATCAGGTGGTGGACCAGGAATATTTTTCAAAGGAGAAACAAAAAATGGCCAAATAAGAATTTTATGGGTAATCCATCCTATAAATCCTAATACAAAAAAGCTTACTAAATTAATCGGATCAGAAAGCATTTTATATTTTAAACTTTATTAAATGATTATTTAGGGAAAAAGCGCTATTATTTATATATTTGATTTCGGTGAAACGGATAATAGCATCCAGTCAATCATACGCAACCTCCGAAATATTTTTACATTTTGAATAATAACAAAATGATTTACCATATTTTAACGCCAATAATACATGAGCGAGAGTTATTATTAAAAGGTAAATGGAATTACCAATTATTGTTTATATTAATTTATACTTTGTAATATTTGAAGAAATTAAAGAAAGTTCTTTATACGAAAAATATTCTCGTTGATCTTACTAATAATCGGCGGCACTTTACATATTAATTTATATATATATATATATATGTACGTATTGGGAGAACCTTTTTTAGCTTGAAAATAAGAATGCCGAAAAGCTTATGTAATGTGTTTGGCTTTAATCGTAGTATTATCTTAATAAAAATGATAAGCGTAATTATTTATTAATAATTTATTTACTATGATAAAAAAAATTATATATATATGGGAAAATGTAATTGATTAACATATTATAATAAAGGACGGTCAGATAAAAAATTGTGTTACCTTAAAAATGATATTGTTACCGAACTGCTGGGTCATTTTGTGTAATAATGATTTCCTTTTTCAAAAGAAATCTCCTTTTATGGCAATTTGTATCACTTCAACGACCGGTGAAACTCACCAGCGGTGATTGTCACCATACCAGCATTAAGATGCACTTTTGGCCCGAATTAAAATTTAATAAAACACTGACCGGCATTACATCATAAATCCACCACTGGTGACCGTCACCACTGGTGATATTTAGCAATACCCATTATATAATAGTTATTGCGTAAGTCACGCAAGATCATGCTATTATTATAGTAAGAGTATATAAAAAGTATAATTAAACTGCAAATATATTTGATATTTAACCAATAAAAGACAAATATAAATTATTTAGCCATCAACAAAAATATCAGTCCGTCAAAATCTGCATGATCCTATTAGACTGACCAATAAATATTATTATATTATTATATATTAATTATACATACATATATATATATATATTATTGTTTTTGTTTTACTATTTATAATTATACATATGTTTTTTATTTATATTTCTATATTGTTTTATATATTGTTTTTATTTATAATTAATATTCAAGATTCAGGGCAAAAATTGAACAAAGGTTGTTTAAATATGTTTTTTACTTTAGGATAATAAATAAATAAATAATAATAATAAAAATAATAATAAATATCGCTTCTGACTAATGATAAAAATTACAAAGAATACTACGGATGGTTCGGTAGATCAGTATTGTTTACTGCTGACAAATTTTTTTTTTTAAAAAAAAAACTAATCATTTTTATTTTAGTATGATTGCACAAATAAAAAAAAAATCATATTCGAGAATAATGTCTAAACATTTAATTCCAGGGTTTTTTTTATTATAATTATTTATTAAAATCTTTTTTTTTTTTTATTTAATTATAAAAATTTTCATTTTGTCTTTTTAAATTGATCTTTGGACAAAATTTTTATTATAACAAAAATTTTCTTTTTTAAATCTTCAGAAACGGAAGATTCAAAAGGATCCGCAAGCTTACTGCGGAATATGGTATATTTTTTTTATGAATAAAATAAATTCTGTACCTTATCTATTCCATATTTTTATTTGGATAGAGCTATTTATTTGATTGATTATTAATGTATTTTTTGGTTAGATTTTTTGGCTAAATTCTTTTTTACCGAGAATAAACAATTTTTTTTTATTTACAATTTAATTTTTTTTTTTTTTGCTTTTTGCTGATTTCTTTTTTGGGTTTAATATTTTTCTTAGATTTATTTTTAATAATTTTTTTAGATTTTTTTAGTTAAATTTTTTTATCGAGAATAACTGCAATTAACAATTTCAATACGTCGGGATCTTGTAAATTCTTTAATTCAATATTTCCACAATAAATAAACCTAATGTACAATAACATCATATTAATTAGAATTTCCTTTTTAACATAAAAATTATTATAAGAATAATATTAAATAATTGTGGAGAAATATTTGGTTTTTTGAAAATAAATTTTCCATCCTTTTTCTCAGTCAATTCATTAGAAAATGCAGAGTGAAAGTATTGAGACCTAATAGATAAAATATTTGAATGAGCATGAATTTCCTTAACATATTGCTCTTCACCAGCATAAATAATAACATCATATCCGATTTCTGTCTCAAAAAGTTTTTCATAATCGTTAGATAATTCTGCCCAAAATTTTGAAGACATTGTTTTTAATTTATAAATGTAGTAATAAGAATAAGCAAGAAATGCAGAAAATGCGGTAAAAAACTAAAAAAATTTACGAACCATTTTTATATTATTCTATGATGATCAATTTCTATAACTGGAAAAGTTCAAGAATATTAATTACTGCGGATTTGCGATCATTTAATAAAATTTCAAAAGTTTAATTTATAAATATTATGAGTTACGAAAGTAGATTTATTTGTATTAAATATACGGAATTATCATACGAAATCTATATAAACATATGTCAAACGTATACAAACGTATCATTTCTGTATACGAATTTCTTATTAATTAACGAAAGAAAAAACTTGAAAATCCGAAAAAAGAAAAGGAATTTTAGTTTGTGGTACTGGAATAGTATGAATTTATTTCAATTTAAGTTACTAAATTTTATGATTTGAAAATTGTTTTCGTGAGAAAATCCTGGAGTTTATGCTTTTTCACATCAAGATGTTAAAAACTACTTTTGATTCTCGTGGAATTAATAATTCAAATGTTTTAACTTTAGGAAGTATGGTTTACAAATAATGATAATGTGAAGGAAATTATCGAAACTTGGCTTAAAACAAATTTTACTAGCAGATGGGGAGGAAGAAAACAAAAAGTTATGTACAGCCAACTCTCATTATTGCGAACCCTCCGGTTTTCACTGCAAATTCATTATAAGACATTTAATTGGGTCATTTCACAGACAATTATCTCAACGACGGACGTTTCACCGACAATCATTTCACTGACAGGATCATTTTACCAACAGTCATTTCACTGACAGTTTTGAAATCTTAGTCCACTTCCTCCTAACCCTAACCCTAATTCCTTATCTAACCCTACTAATTAAATAACAAATTCTTTTTATACGGGATCTTCCAAAATCACTCCCTAAAGTCCCGAAAGTTTTAAAATCCTGGCCAAACGACGATCACAGAATCCGATGGTTAAAATTCTTGCTTGTAAAATTTCGAAATTTAGAAGTCTTGAGATTTAAATAAATTTGTAATATGTACAATTCAATTTTTTTTTTGTTAAATCCAATTAATAAAATTAATAAATAACATTATTAACGCAAGATAAATATTATCAGTTATTAACGTAATTTGTAAGTTTAACGTTAATAAGACTATTAAAGCAAATGATTTAGAAATTCAATAAAATTATATTGCAATTATCTATAAATTTCTAATTATTTTTTTAAACAAAATAATTAATTCTCAATCTCAAAATCAAAATTATAAAGAAAAGGTTGTATACAGTAATTACAGTATGTTATTCCACGATCTTCCCGATCGTCTTTTACAAATCAGGCTCTTTTGCTCATCACGAAGAATACATCAGCTTAAACATCCACTTGTTTCTATTCTTTTGATACCACAAGTTTGCAAACTTCATATTGTTTTAAAAAAAAATACAATTTGTGTTAATTTAAATATTTTGTGATAGTAATTTTATTAGCGATTCAAATGGCCAAATATGATACATCATTTTAATAAAATTTTTTTTTTTTTTTTTTTTTTTTTTTTTTTAAAAAAACTTCGAGATTTGACTATCAGGATTTTCTGACATGATATCTGACGACTCTGACGTCAAGTTATGATATGATATCATATAGCACGAATAAAATTCAAAATTTCTCATATTTTAAAAAAATTTCATTTAATATTATTGGTCTTCATATTAATTACCTAATAATATGATATGATTTCTAATTTGAACAATTAAACAAAATTTCAAATGAAAAAATTTTTTTATTACCTTTTTTATATAAAAATCAAAATTTGTAAATTAATAATAATCAAAAAAAATTTACTAATCAAATTCGTAACATCTAAACTGGTTATAACCTATATTTGCTATCTGCCTCACTCATTAGTCTTACCTAAAAAAGGACTTTTCGTCCGAGTAAGGAAATATAAAGGATTTAACTATTTAACTGATCAAATTAAGCGACAAAATGACAAATATGGTAACTCTGTAGCAAAATCATGCCATTATCCCAAGAAAATAAAATATAGGTTTGGATTTGACAAATAATAATACATGTTGAAAGCACGAAAATTCAATTCGAACGAAAAAGTACTTTAGCAATATTAGACTTTCACGGGTTTGGAGTTTGGACTTATTATTTCAAAAAAAATCAACAATTTGATTAATTTTATAATAAAACACCCCATTGGTTTCATCAAAATTACACTCGTTAAATATACGGACGGTATGTTCATGAATAATTTTATACAATAATTTATTAATATTATTTAAATTACAAACTAAGAATTTTGAAAGATGGCTAATCTTACGTACTCGTCTTAGTGTTTAAATAATATTTAATATAAAAAACTTTAAAAATAATAATAATAAATAATAAGTTTAATATAAATAGTATAATATATAATATTTATAAATTCATCTCATCATCCGCTATATTTAAATATCTAGGAAAAAGCACAGAATAATTTAGTAATTTAATAACTATTTAAAAATTTAATATCTGCAAAAAAAATTCTTACCGTCAGGAAGTTCAAATGTATCTTGTTCTTCCGAATGAAAATTTGGATTATTATATACTTCATCTTCATCTGTAAAAATATATTATAATTAACACAATAATATAAAATTAATTACTATTATTATGAAATAAATTACATACAATCTACATTATCATGATGATGTTTATTTATTTGTTGTTTTATTGTTTCTCTTTTATCTTCATTTTGAACATCTAAAAATTTAGCAAAGTCACGTTAACACTAAAATAATTAAAATGACAATATAATCAATTTACCTACCATTTTTTAAAATCTTTTTAAATATTTTGGATAACTTTTTACTATTAACTAAATGATTTGCAAATTAATATTTATTTATGAAAAATATGAAAATTTAATAAATTACCTTTAAATATAGTGCTTATTTTCGATGTACTACTTTCTTTATTATTCGATTTATCAATATCATCAACTAAAAAAAAAGTTTATATCAATAAAATATTTTATTTTAAAGTATAAAATATAAATCCAATAATACTTACCATTGTCAGGAATACAAAAGTCAAATGATTTACTATAAAATGCTATAAAATTTAAATAATTAACTATTTAATAATTTATAAAAGGTAAATAAATTTAAAAATAATTCATACCCTCTAATTCTCCTATTGATTTAAATAAAAAAAAAAGATATCATTAATTATATTTAGCATGATACTAGTACTTTTTTAAATATTTAATACAAGGTTCATAATATAATACCTTCTGTTGCATTTCTTGGTTCAGGAAGTTTTTCAAAATGATGAAGTCTACTTGTAGATAATATGTTACCGCTAGTATAATTTTCTATTTCGAAACTATTATTTTCTTCTGGTTGAGTTAATAGTTCATCTGATTTATTTTGATAAAATAAATTAATTTCACTTATTTTTTTCCAAAGTGCATAACTATCAGGTCTGTTTGATGGATCAGCATCCCAACATTGTTTCATTAAATTTTTATATTCTAAAGGAGTTCCTGGTACAATTTTTGGTCTTATACCATTAACAATATGCATTGCAAGTTCATAATCATGATCATAATTAAAAAATGGTGGTTGTCCAGATGAAATTTCCCACATAAGCATTGCGATACTATAAATATCAGATTTAAAAGTCTGTTCTTTTCCAATAATAACCTCAGGTGCTATATAAGGAAGATTTCCATATATACTTTTTAATGGTTTATCTGAAGGTCCACAAAATCCAAGATCACTGATACGAAATACAGTACCAAAATCATTTAATACATTTCCAGAATGCAAATCTCTATGAATTGCATTTTCTGTATGAATTATTTGAAGTGATTTAATTACATAAACAGCAATTTGAATTCTTTCTCTCCATGTAAGTTGTCGGTTTTGGTGTAAATATTTTCTTAAATCTGTATCCATTTGATTCATTACAAGCATATAATCTCCATTTGACGGATCTTGTGTTAAACCATAACATTGAACAATATTTGGGTATTTAGTGCTTAGAGTTAAATGTGATTTAGCCTACCAAAAAATTCTTTAGTAATTTAATAGAATATTATCAAAATTTTAAATAGTTTAAATTACAAACCTCTTCAAGCCAACTTTGGTTTGCATTTTCAACATTTTCTAATTTTTTAAGTATTACTTGATGTCTCCCAAATCTTTTTAATTGTCGTTCTTTAGAATCCCATTCTATATAATATCCATCAATCCAGTCTGCTGTATAAATTTCTGAAAATCCACCTTTTGTTAGATATTTAATATTTTTCAAATTATTATATGGAATCCATTCTACTATTCTATTTGGTTTTAATGTTTCCATTTGACATTCTTTTATTAAATTATCAATATTAACATTTTCAGATGTCCAATTTGAAAATTTTGCTTTTAAATAATTTCGAATACAAAGTTCACAATATAATGTAGCCAAGCATTCTTGATTACAATTATCACAAGTTCTTTTTGTTCCTGAATTATACATAACTTTATAAGAATCATAACATTTAGTGTATATTATTATTGCTTCATATTTTTCATTTTCTGTAAGTGAATTATCAGCAAGAAGTGTTTGTCGCACAAATTCAAATTGTTTGTGTATATCATTGCAAATATTAAAATCTATTAATGCTTTTGCTCTATTAAGTGCAGCATTAACTGATTGATTTTCACTATAAGACATAATGAATAATATATAAAGATTTAATTTTTTTTTAATAAAATTTTTATGATATGCGATATGCATAAAAAAAAAGATGATCAAAATTTTTATTGTGTTTTGTAATTATCTGTTATTATTTTTTTTTTTTACGTTAAGGGAAAAAAAATTTCATTTTTAATTCATGATTATAAGTTCTGTAAACAGTTGTTCTATTATATAATTTTATGATAATTGCTAATTACAATATTTCTCAAATTATAATTTCATATGCAATAAATAAATAAATATATATATAGTAAATATATATATAAAATTTTCATCTTCAGTAAATATTATGCGATATCTCACTAAGATATAGACTGGATGCTGATCAAAAGGTAGGTAAACTGGCAGTTATTTATAAAAAATCGGACAGTACATGTTTTATGCCCCTCAATTTATCTTTCAGATTTCAGGAGACGCATGGGCTGAAATAGATCAACAAAATCGAGGCGATTGTGATTTCACGAAAACCGATATTAAGTAGTTATCCCCTATTTCATTGTAAATATATCACAAAACTTCCATGATCCGCAAAATGCAAATCAGAGGAGATTTCGCGTGCATAATGAAAAAGATATACCAGAACTTTTTGGAAAAAGCTCGAACCGCCCGTTTAAAAATAATTCTGGTTTTATAAGAAATAAAAGAAATAATCAGTCATTCCGCAAAATGACATTTTTACTAATGATTGAAAGTTGCGTAATAAAAAATACATGCTAGAACTTTCCGGAAAAACATGATTACGCAAGCAACCCAAATTAACAATATTGACTTTAGAAAGTTTATGTTCTCCGCCTAATAAGAACCTAAGCTCTGAGTCAAACACCCCACTCGAGTGATTATAACCTTATTATTTACGTCAGGGGTGGAGTCAAATGCATACGTAAATAACGTAATGTTTCTATTTTATGTGAAGACGGATAGGCTATTAACAGGACATATACCTAACGGTGCTACCCTACATCTAGCTATCATCCACCCTAGGGCGGACCCGAACTTCTTTAAATCCATCGAACCAGATTGATCCCCTCCACAACCGAATAGGGACCAATATCCGAGAAAAAGTATGAACTATATAAAGAACCCTAACAAAATAATAAGAAGTTGTGGCGATCTAAACATTATAAATAGCTAAATTCAATTAATTGACGAGCATTAATCCGTATTTTTCTTTCAACCACAAGGGTTGCCACCTGTAAATACTGTAAGAGGTGAAATGGTTTACACTATTTTAGGTTGTTAAAAATCTAACGTAAAAGAAAAGAACTAAAATGCTAATAAGCATGTACAAAGAGAAACTAATATATGTATAAGTGGTTATATTAAAATTGACTAATGAGTACTTAGGTAGTACGAGTAGACGAACTGTTTTCCAAATCCTTCGGGGCGGATAATATGCAAACCTTTTTATCTTTATGATAGCCATAATAAGTATCTAAATTGCCATTATCACTGGCACTTCGTTTAAGCGGTCTATCGTCCATGATAGCACAAGGCTGATATGTTAAACTATATTCCTTCCTATAGTATTCCATGTAAAAAATATCATCCTCATTGATAACCTTAGAACGTAAGTCTTCTAAGATTTCAGTATCTTCCTGTTTTTTCCGTTCAAATTCTTTTAATTTTTGTGAATGACGCTTTTCGCGTTTTTTACGTTCGCTGTTTTTAATAGGTCCAGGTACAATTGGTAATTCAGGTGGTACTAACGATGAGATTTCTAGTAATTTCATTTCATACTCATGTTTGTTGTCAGTAACTTGCATTATAAGATCACAAAGATCTCTCCGATATTCGCCTTGATCAGGAGTAGTTTCCCATTGTATTCCAGCATCAATTTTTCCACGTTCATATTTTGTCATTGATACGTGATCATCATAAATTTCTTTCATGAGGGCTAACCAGCCATCACTGCCAACTGCAAGTGGTTGTAATTGTTTTGTCCGAATTTTCAAATGAGAAGGTTGATTCAATCGGCCACCTTCGTAAACGGGAAATGGAGGAATTAAAGGAATATAATGTTCAGGTACATTCTCCCAATTGTTTGTGTTGACTGGGGGTATAGAATTCTCAATCGATGTAGATGCGACAGAGCTATCGTTGCAAATCGTTTCCACTATAGCAGGTACAGATACAGTCCTTGGTTTATAAAAAGGGATCGGAAAGGTGTAATAACCTTTTGATGGTATGACAAATCTTTTCTTGTATCGAAGGTGTTTAATGGGAGTGATAAATCTTTGATTTTCTTGGAATAATAATTTGTGATGTCGTGCAACTTGGAGTTTATCATCCGTTAGCGCATTATCATCCAACTTGGCGTTATGAAAAGTGTGTCTAACCAAAGCATTAAAACGTGCTTCTTGTCTTTTCTTTACATTTGGAGAAGAACTGGGAGTAAATTGAAGATTCCCATAAGTTTTGCCATAAATAAAATCAAGTCCTTTTGTAGCAACGACGTTAGTGCTATATGCATGGTATGATGTCGTAAAAGAGATTCCCAATCGGTTCGAAAAATTCTGATGTATTTTCTTTTGAGTCCATCTGTTGTAGAGGCGAGATGCGTGAAAATCTTTGAATGTTTTGCAACGACTATAGTCAGGAATTTTGTTATCCTTCGAGATACAGTATAGGACTAAATTCTTATGGTGGATGATACAGGCATGACGATGATGTGACATTGTAAAAGGGACCGGGATAGAGCAAGTCGCAGTAGTATTGGGAAGTAAACCTACTGTGTGAGTGTGATTGCATGGGAGGTAAATTCCAAAATAAAATCTATATTTTTTATACGAAAAATTAAAAAAAGTTTTAGTCATATGATTATTTTTGTCTTTTTTTTGGGCACATGATCTTATAAAATCCAAACGCTCCAATAGTTTTTTACGAATAAGTGTAAAAAATTTGTCTTGCAATTTTCGAGGAATAACTTTTTGTGTTGAAAAAAAGTGCGTGAGCTGTTTCGATATTTGAAATTTGAAATTAGGGAGTCGGCTCGTGGATTCATGATTAATCGGGTTAGAGGACATATGATAATCATTTGTGTAAATCTTCAATTGAAGTTGATTGGTGTCTGGTAAATGATCAACCAGCTCAAAAAAGAAACTTTTTGAGCGCCTAAAATTGTAAATCTTGTTATAACCGGCTCTATGGTGTGGAGTCACGTGGAACTTTTCGTATTTTGTAGAAAAAATATATTTTTTATCAGGCGAAGAAAAGGGCCTAATATCTTCAAGGTCATTATGAAGTGGAGGTATATCCGATAAAGTATCATCAATAGGAGGTGTTGTTTGTATAGTATCGTGGTTGAAAATAAAATCATTAGGACCAACGAGTATATGGTCGTATCCGGGTGCAGGAGCAAAGTCGTCAGCTCTTGGAAAATAAGACATAACCAACCCTTAAATATGTGTATAATGAGAACAATAAAACCTCGTCTTATGCCCGAGGCGCCCTTAAGGGCCTCTTCCCTTTAGGTGTTTCAAATAGAAACTAAAAAAATAAACTTGCGCAAAATTACTGCAGAAAATTACCAAAATGAAAAAAAAAGGGAAAGAGTTTTTTTTCAATAACGTAATGTTTCAGTTGTTTCACCGACACCTGATTATTTTGATCGGCACCACATGTGACATTGTGACGTAAGCTGATTTTCTATTGATTAATTTTTTTCATAAGACTCACAGTTCGTAGCTGACTCTCAGCTTGTAGTAATTACTAAACAACCATTTATGAAAATATATATACACATGACATGTAATCAAAATGTCGAGCTACTCTTCGCTATCTCGAGTACTTTTGCCGCTCCGGGTACATATTTATCCAAATTTTATCCTGGGTAAATCTGGGTTTAATCTCGAACTTTTAATCAGAATTGCGGGCCATACATTACACCTCACATACTGTACGTCATACACAAGTTAAAAATTCAAAACAAAATCCTTTATTAATTTTTAGTAAAATGACCACAAAGAAAAGAAATGTGATATAATATTTATATAAACATTAAAAACTTCTCATTCTGTAGATTCGAAATTATGGAGAAATTTTCTTGCGAGAAATATTATTTTACATAATCTTTGCGGATGTGAGTAGTTAACTAAAATTCTGTAGATATTACAGAATAATTTATTTGAAAACTAGTATAAAAGAATGTTGCAGATTAAGGTTATAAAAAAAAAAATAATTAATGATTATAATGACTAATTACCAAAATGGTTGACAAAAATAACATACAGTATTCCATGTTAATAATGTTTACGTCAAAGTTGACCTACTTCAAACTATGTTTACGTGATCATATTCAAAATTAACTTTCAAATATGATAGTAGCGATGCCATATCGACTAAGTTATTATTAAGTTCCAAAAATAAGATCGCAAGAAGTTTTATTTGGCAAAATTAATTTAATCATTCCACTTTATTAGCTAGAAAAAACTAATTATTAATGATTTAGTAAGTTTCTCATAAGTGTGTTCTTAAAAATATGTATAGCACTAAACATTTTTTTATAAAAAACATGTCTTTTATATCTTACAATATCCAGAAACACGAATTTTTGAAAATCAGTTTTTTTATGGATGAAGTTTACGCTTGAAATAACTCAATTTTATATGTATTTATTGATTTCAAATAACTAAAATATAAAATATTCTGTTATTAATTAAACAGAAGTGTTTTAAGCTTGCCATTATTGGTATGGTTGGAAGCGGAAGAATTCAACCTAAACATGTATGAATACAATGAATACAGTAAACGAGAGATTTTTATTTGACACGAATATGCGGAGGATTTCATGGAAGTCTTTATCGTTCTGAGGCAAGTATTTGTCTTCATTATTAATAGAGTTGAGTTCTTCCCCATCATTTTCAAGTGTGGGTGATTGATATATCTTATGTATATATATTCCTTAAGCCCTTCGAGAGTCGCATGTTCGATATTTGCAGTCCACTTATTTGGCTTCCGTTTCAGGTGAACGACAACGTCGAAGTCTGTAATGCAACAACCAGGTTAAGACAGTAACTAATTTGACGTGAAACATCATTTTCTGAGGAATAGTTTCATAACCTGAAGATTTCTTGCAAAACTTTATACGTACCATAGACAGACTTGTTGAGTAATGCCTGCAACGAAGCGAGTTTCTCCCTTAATTCCAATACCTCGTTCGAAGCAGAAGTTGACATGGGTGGTTCGATTATTACATGAATATTCTTCTTAGGCAGTTTCTCAGGCCAGTATTCTCCAATATAATTTATTGCCAACAGCACTTCATTCTCCTCGAGTGAGAGATTACTCAAAGGATCGGCATGATCGCCAAGAATTTCCCTCAACCTCTCCTTAGTCCATTTAGATACTTAAAGTCAAATTTTGGTGCCTTTATTGATTAATTGAAATAAATCCCATCATAAATAACAATAACTAAATAAAAATAATTAAGGAAAATATTAACAAATATTGTAAATTAAAGATATTTTGTCCTAAACATTATCAAATGAAAAAATCTTGTCATCCATCATGAAAAAAGAAAAATTCATGACTTTAAATTTCAATTCATTTACAATTTATGACTGATTTCAAGGGTATATAATTAGTAAATTTGTTAACGCTATAATATAAAAACTTAATTAGTAAATAGCGCAGTAATAAAAAAAAATATCATATTGATGAGAATGATGAAAACGCGTCTGGTTAACTAAATATATACAATAAATAAATATACATTACTGTATATTTGCAGCGTAAAAAACTTTTTTTAATTATACTACTCAACTTACCATTTTACTAATTTATATCCCAGTCTTATTCTGCTTTCTTATTGGTCTATTTTCTTTACACGTGACTTTAGTCATTATTTTAAAGTTAAACGTAGTGGGTAGATTATAATATAGCCATTTAGTGATTAACCATAAGCTTTTATTTGGCTTTATTAAAAAATAATAATTCTCAATAAGAATATCGTATTATAAGAAAAATAAAGGATTAAAAAATAATGTATCGTATTCTCCATTTTATTAAAATAAACCTATCATAAATAATCTTCTTTTCTCTAAATTAAATAAAGAATTATGGACAGATTTTCTATAAACTTCAACTACTTAATTTGAATTTAAGCTCACGTTCCTAAGAAGTATTTTCTTAATACAATAAGCTATGAAGCAATATATATATAATACACCAGTAAAATCCTTTATAAAGTATATCACGGACATGGGTTAAAACCATGGGCGGACCACGAAGGATATAACCTAGACACTTGAGACATGAAATGCAAGGTTAGAACCTTTGCAGATCGGTTGAATGGGTATGAATTATTCACTTTATAATTACATTACACTTAAAATTCGAATTCACAGTATCCGACTTTAACAATTATTTTGAATTTGAATTTTTAATTCTTGGATTAAATTAAATGATTCCACAAATGATAATTAAGTAATAATTAGTGATGAAATAGTTAGAAGGTCCAGGGCGTCTTGGTTCTAGTTTTTTCGAAAAAAAAAAAAGAAATTCATTTTGATAGTGCTAAATATAATGATTTCATATTAATTAATGATATGATAACTTCGATAAATAGATAAATAGTATAGTTAAATAATTAAAAATTAAACACTGTAATTTTAGCAATTTTAAATTATTTATAAAAGTTAAGATTACATTGAGAAATTACTGAGATTAATCGTTTTTCTACAGACAATCTCTCTTGCTGCCACTTGCATTTTTAATATATCAAAGTCTTCTAATAACAATAGCCTAAAAAGAATATTATCGTAATTGATTATATATTTATTTATTAAATTAACTTTATTTTACAAAAAAAATTTATCTCAAAAACAAAAAGCTAGATCAAATTCATCTTAAAAGTTCAATCTAAAGTTTAACAGTGTTTAAAGTAACAAAACCTAAGCTAATATTATTGAAACTAATAAAGTTAAAAAGTAGTTTATTTAACACCATCAAAATTTAGAAATGATCACGTGTATGAAATCACGTGGAACAGACGAACTTTTTTGCATAGTATTTTCGGACAATCAAAATTAATGTCTTAATTTTTTAGTTCCGTATCTGCTACAACAAAAGGGTGAAAAATATTAATGACGATAATAGATTAATCATTAGAAAGACTTTGAAAAGCAGTTAATGCGTGATCAGATTAAAAAAGAACTCTGTGAAGAGAATGGGATTGCTCTAAGGTATGTTTGGTATTACGAGGATCCATACATAGTCATTCTAAATCACCTTCGAGAGTTTGTTCAATGGGTCTCATTGGATAAACTCAAAACTTTAAATGCTTTTGCGATTCACTATTATAATTTATTCATCCGGAATTACACAAAAAATCGAATAAAAATTTCTTTGATATACACACAACATCTTATATAGGATACACATCTTAAAAATCATGAACCCAATGTGAAAAATCGCCTATGTAAATTTGCTTTAACGTTATTGACCTACTAATTTCATTGTTATTATTTATATGCTTCATATCCGTATTTGTTTATTTGATATTCCTGTCTATTCCATAAAAAAAAAACAAAATGATGTTACTATACTAATCGCCTGTGGACCACACCAGTTTTTCATTCATCTAAATTTCATTTGTCCTAATCATCAATATTATGGATAAAATAAAATGGTCTAGTACTTATACGAGACATGTAGTGTCAGAAATAAATGAACGGCATTAACCTAGTATAGCCCGCTTATTTCTTCGTATATTTATTTTATTAAGCGAGTCCATAACGTTTATGTTTAGATCAGGTGTTGGTTGGTTGGAAATTTAAATTTTTATCAATGGCAAAATTGCTATATAAAGTACGTAAATATACAATTTATAATCTCAACTATCTTAAATATCTTAAATATCTTACAATTGGTAATTATGACATCCTATTATGATCATGAGAAAAAAAGTAAGTTCAATTTTAAGGAATTAACTTCTTACATCAAATAAGATTTATAATAGTTTTTTTAAAATTTCGTATTTATCACATTTCATATTCATATCTTTTTATTTTTATTAAGCAAATGTTTCTATTTTTATGATTGGTGCAGATTTTTGTTAATACCAGTATGAGAAATTTCAATCATTATAAAAAAAAAGTATATTTTAAAATTAAATTAAAAATACTTGTAGAAATATTTTAGAAGTACACAATAAACTAAATTCATTTATTCTATTAAATAAAAAAAAATGATACGTTAAAAATAATTTATTATATCATATGATGATTAAACTAATTCAAAGGTTACACAAATAAATACATTGACTTGGTTACAGAAATCTAAACAAATCTTGCCCTTCATGAGGGAGGAAATAAACTATTTCATATACAATATTTTTTTAAAAAAAATCATAATTTCATATAATAGAAACAAACACCAAAGATTTTGTGTACTAAATTTCGTGAATAGATTAGATAATATGTATAAATTTTCATTAGATCAGATGGTTATGATAAATGTAGTTGTTACTGAATTTTAATGACATTTATTAGCTAAACATTTAATATAGTAAATATAATTGAGGTTTATTATCAGTTAGTTTTTTATCGTATTTTGTATTAAACTTTTTTAAGCTTGCTATATCTGAATTATCAATAAATTTATTTTCTATATAATTTATATAAGGTAACTAATACGTAATATGTATAAAACTGAAGTCTCCAATAGGTTTTAAAAATATTGACTTACATGCAATATGTCAATTATATTTAAAATTGTTTCCAACATAATTTTCAAAATCATCGTTATACAGCCCTATAAAAAAATTGGATACGTTTTTTATAAAGTTTTTATACGATTTTTTTTCCTTAGAAATAACGTATCATAATAGGATACGGAAAAATGCACAATTCCGTATCACTAAAAATATGGTTTGGATACGGAATTTGCACGGGATTTATATGGAATTTACATGATTTGATCACTGATTTTATCACGAAATTTATACG